CCAACATCCAGAACCAACATCCAACACCTAGAACCAACATCCAGAACCAACATCCAGTCCCAACACCTAGTCCCAACACCTAGAACCAACACCTAGAACCAACACCCAGAACCAACATCCAGAACCAACACCTAGAACCAACATCCAGAACCAACATCCAGAACCAACACCTAGAACCAACACCTAGAACCAACATCCAGAACCAACACCTAGAACCAACACCTAGAACCAACATCCAGAACCAACACCTAGAACCAACATCCAGAACCAACACCTAGAACCAACACCTAGAACCTGTGAACTCCAGGTTCTGGTTCCTACCAATGATCCACATCAACATTTAGTCTGAACGTCTAGAACCAGAACCTTGTCTGGTCCAACTTCACCACATCAGGTTCTGCTGATGTTAGAACCTCAACAGCTGGTGGTATGTGACCAGACGGGATTCTAGTAGAACCATGGATCCATCCATAGACAGACACTGACAGGAACTTTATGGATCAGCACCAGCCTCAGTTCTACATTTTGCACTTTTGTCCATTTTGAATGGAAACTATTAAAAAAGTTAAAAGACGTTTCATTTATTGTTGTGAAGAGTCTTCAGCAGCTGTTTGGACCCGGAGCTGCAGAACATCAGAAACATTCAGAACCCCTTCTCAAGCCTCCACAGTCTGGACTGGACAGCTTCCATTGTAGGATAGTAACTCTGCAGGATTCATGTGTTCATCTAACGTCACTCTTCGGTGTTGGACTTTGAACCCGCCTGAGTCCGACCTCGCTGAGCCAGAACCTTCATGCCTCCTGGTGGGTCTCTGCTTCCTGTTTCAGGGTCGGAGCAGGAAGCCGAGCAGGCGAAGCAGCAGCTGCTGCAGCAGGTGGGGAAGGTGACCGACGTGGTTTCGTCTCTGGGCTTCAGCTGGTGGCAGGGCGGGCCTCCTCACACCCAGAGCCTCAAGGACCTGCACTGGGTCAGCACACCGCAGCAGCACCGCCAAACGCTTCAGTACCGACACGCCGTCCGGCTCATTAACACACTTCCTGTCTCCTTTCTGCTGCGCAGGTGATCGAGACGCTGCTGTTCAGCACGTTCGTGTCGTGGAAGGCCTTCTTCCCCCTGGTGAGGGACGAGTCCAGCAGCACCTACACCTTCATCACAGGTGAGCTAAACAACAGCAAAGAGACTCAAACCGACCGGACCAGGACCAACCCACTGAGAAGAAACATAACAGGAACACAAAGTGATGCAGAGGGAGGATCAAGGACACAAAGACTCACAACACGAGCACAGAGACACAGATAACAGAACCAGAGACGAAGCGGCTGAAGGACGGTTCGGACTGAACCCCACAGACATGACGAACATCTGATAGAGAGACACGGAGAGCAGAGACACAACCAACACAAAATCATCAATTCAGTTTTATTTGTAAAGCGCATATTTACAACAACAGTCATCTCATAGCGCTTCACAGAGACACCCAACAATCCAAACATCTGGATTCTCTATAAGCTTCAGCAGTCCGCTGGTGGGACGGAACCGAAAACCTCGGACAGAACCGGGCTCAGGGAGGGACGGCCATCTGCCTCCACCGGTTGGGTGGATGTAGGATGAATTCTAACATTTAGTTTACAGTTAAACAAGTTAGTTGGAGTTAATCAGACTGAGGTTAAAGCTGAAACCGGCTCAGAGCATCAGAAACAGAACCGACTGAAAGAAAAACAGCAAAACGAGCACAAACACACCACAGCAGCTCTGAGCCTCGACCCGCTTCATCTGAACGTCAGCTCCTAAAAGTCACGTCTGTCCCGGAGAACCGGGTCGGAATTAAAGGTCCTTTTGTGTGTTTGTGTTGCTGCAGGAGGCGCCGGAGAGAAGCTGCTGATGCCCGGAACCGGCTTCCTGACGGTGGGCGCCGCCAGCTCGCTGGCCTTCTGCCAGGTGCTCCGCGAGGAATACCCGGAGCTGCCCTGCAAGCTGAACCAGGTGAGCACGACTCAGCAGAACCCAGCACGACTCAGCAGAACCCAGCACGACTCAGCAGAACCCAGCACGACTCAGCAGGGCATCTGGAGTTTAGCCTTCATGGTTCTGTTTTCATTGATCAACTTTATCAGTAAACGGGTTTTATTTTTGAACGCTTCTATTAAATGAACCAAAGCGCTGCGGTTCTGTTCGGATCATTAGAGTTCTGCGGGTGCTTTTCATACAAAATGATTCAGATTTGTCTGACAAAACTGGAAAATCATTCAAAATGATAATTTCACTGAAACCTTCACTCATTCTGAGGAACCCGTTCACTCCAGAACCTGCAGCTCCCATCAGAACCTCGTCACCACGCTGCTGAGAACTGAGAGCTTCTCCTCCCGAGCAGGAGGTGACGTCGTCCTGCTGAAGTTCAGTAAATCAGTTTCTGTGAACCCAGGTTCTGTTGAAGGACCTGCTCTGGTTCCTCAGACGTGCTGCTTCAGCTGTCGGGTCAGAACCGCATCTCTTAGCAGCGTTCTGAACCTTCTTCAGATGAACCCTCTGCAGCTGCAGCAGTCTGCTTTTGGTCAACTTCTGCGTCTCCAACCTTAAAGAAACCAACATGTAAGAGTTCCTGTGTCTTAAATCAAGCTGACCTCCACTGGTTCTCCTTCATAAGAACATGGATGTAGGAGGAGCCTGCTGCGGCTCCAGATCCTCCAGATCCTCCTGAAGCCTCCTGAAGCCTCCTGGTCTCCTCCAGGCGTTGGTGGAGGTCTGCAGGAGGCAGCATCATGAACAACAGCCAACCTCAGGGACCACCCGACTCAAACATCCGCCGTGTTTCTCATCCTCTGATCTTGTCTTGTTGCCTCCCGCCAGGTGAAGATCGACACAGGTGTGGCCACTCCGGACCGCATGGCGCCGGGCTACCTGAACCACCTGGACCTGGGCGAGGCCGTGGCCACGCTGGTGGAGAGACGGAACACCTCGCACACCGTCTTCACCGTCAACTGCCCGGCCGACCTAAAGACTGTGATTCTGGAGAAGAACCTTTAGACCGGACCGGCCCGGCCCTGCAGCTGGTTGCCACGGCGACGCTGCTCCTCTCCACGGCGCCCCCGTCCTGCTTCGTGTTGTATATTCTGCTGCCTGTTGTCACTCGTTTGCCACCGTTTGCTCTGCATGTGCTGTTGGTTGTAATACACTGATGTGTGAATCCAGCTGTGAGTCCTGTGATGTGCTCAGTGTGGGTCAGTCGGTCAGGCAGGACGAAGGAACACTGAGTCAGCAGACGCTCAGAGGTCCGTTTAGTTCAGAGCGCTGGTCTGCTCCAAATCAGTTTAGCAAAAAGCACAAAACTACACACAAGCACCACATCGTCTTCATTAAAACACAGAATGACCAAAACAATCACAAAATCTCCACAGAAACATTCAAAACCTTTAAAAACATCTAAACAGACGATGAACAGGCTCAAAGTGACCACACGGAACCACCAGTTGGTCCAGTTCTGTTTCCAGAACCAGAACCCGATCACATGAACATGTGCAGCTCCAGGTCTGTTCTCATCCTCTCAGCGTGAAACCAGATCCAGTTGGATGCATCGAGCTTCTTGTTGCCTTTCAGGGTTCGACAGCAGTGAAGTGAGCAAAATATCCTCAGAACCTAAATAAACTGCCGACTTCACACGGGTCAGTAAACAAACCCTCAGAAACACGTCTGAGAAGATCCTCAGTCCTCCAGGTCCTGGTTCTTCTGGTAGATTAAGCAGCTGGACTGATTGAAGACGTTCCACCTCCATCCAGGAGGCTTCATCAGCTCTGACTGACTGGTTGGGAGTTCCACAGACTGATATCCTGAAGGAGACATTAACACCTGAGTTTTAATTGGAGGTTTGTTGCTCTTCCCCCTCGTTATGTGGGTCGTTAGTGCTCCCCCTGCCACAGTGGGGTTCGTTAGGGTCTCTGTGGCTCGGTGTGGATGTGGGTTCATCTTCCTGGGGGGAGATCTGAGGACTGAACAGGTGAGAGGTGATGCCTCAGACCTCCACCTCTGCTGACGGATGGTCTCTCCTGTTAGATGGATTCTTCCACCCCTCTCTCAAACCTTCTGTCCTCCCTGCAGGACAACATCTGCACGTTGTTGTCTTCAGGTGAGTGTCCTTTGTCCTGAAGATGCAGCTGGATGCTGAGTCCTGTCCTGTCTGAAGGACAAAGGACACTCTTAAGAAGTCTCAGTCTTAAGAAATGGCTCCTTCAGGATATCAGTTTCTGGAACTCAGGTAAATGGTAAATGGTCGGCACTTCTACAGCGCCTTTCTACCTTAGCGGCACTCAAAGCGCTTTACCATGTGTTTCTCATTCACTAATGGCCACGGAGCTGCCATCAGGAGCAACTTCAGGTTCAGTGTCTCACCCAAGGACACTTCAGCTGTGGAGGAGATCAAACCACCAACCTTATGAGCAGAGGCCAACCGCTCTCCCACCTGAGCCACAGCCGCCCTGATCCGGCCCTTAGTGACCTGGTTCTGTTGGGATGAAGGCTCAGTTTCCTGATGAGCAGGGCTTCCTTTGACTAGCTGTTAACCAAACTGTTCAGAGGAAACAGCAACGGTCAGAAACCAGGAGGAGACCCAAACACGTAACAGTACCACGGTATCAAACTCCAGCTCACACGATCCGGTTCCTCCACACCGAGAGGCTTCAGGTTTCTGAAGTGGTGTCGGCTAGCAGAGAGCATTGTGGGAGTTTAGCAGCAACGGGACCATGACACACACTCTGAGGAGTGTTCAGGGCAGACTGGGATGGACTGGGACCTGGTTCCTGAACCCAACACGTCTCAGAGCTGCCTGGGTCTATGATTTAGCGCTTAGCAAAGTCATTCAGATTAGCATCAGTAGCTCTGTGGGATGAGCTCCCTCCACACGTTTCTGCCTCCTCTTGCCAGCAGCTGAGCATCAGTGGATGTAAACCAGCACGAGTGTGTCGGTCCAGTTCTGACCTGCTGACCTCCAGCAGCATCAGAACCAGCCAGCGCCACTGGGTGGACAGAACCGTGTGGAGGGTCATTCACATACAGCCTCGCGTGACTCTTTGTCCCGTTCACAAGCTCCAGCTCTGACCCCCCACTGCCCCGCTATCTGCCCCGCTATCTGCCCCGCTATCGGCTATTTGGGGCAACTCTTCCCTTAAACAAACAGCAGCATCATTGTTAGGCCCGGTCCAGGAGGGGGAGGTGAGCTGCTGGCTGGGGGAGCTCTATGGTTTTGTTGTCAGCTTGTCGGCTGACGGCTCATTTAGGCCACATTATAATGAAAGCGCTGAAGGAGGACCGGCTGGGCCCCACTTCCTCCTTCCTCCCCTGGAAAGGACAGAAACGGTCACTAATGTCCAAACCCTCCTCCGCTGACTCATCTCGCTCTGACAGGAAGAGAAAACGTTTGTTTGGGAGGAGCGACGAACCTGGAGAAACAGAAACACGGTGAAGCCGTCCATCGTGTTAAATTAGTCACATTTCACATGGACTTTGGTGAAGGTTCTTCTTTTGGATTTCAGGGAATTTTCTTGACAACAGTTTAATTTATTGCCATAAAACCTGCTGCAGTCATTCACGTGTCCCTCAGGACGGAGAATCATCATGATGGAGGCTTTTTGAACACATTCAGAGCTGTCGAGCTAAACATACACACATATATATATATATACATATATATACATATATACTATATACAGTCGTCCTCAGATGTGTTCACAGCCTCCCATTAAAGAAGGAGAAAATAGCTTCAGTCACTGGAATAAGTTGAAATTGACAAAAGCAATAATAAATAAAAATCTAATGAACATCATGACGCTGCTT